GTGTATATATATATATATAAACTCATACAACTCACAGGAAAAAGCAACACATAATCCAATTTTTAAAATGGGCAAAGGACTTGAACAGACATCTTTCCAAAGAAGATACATGAATAGCCAATAGGTACATGAAAAGATGTACCTATCTTAGGGATACATCACTATCATTAGGGAAAAGGAAATAAAAAACCCAAGTGATCACATCACACCTGTTAAAATGGTGAAACTTAGAAAGATAAAAGATAACAAATGGTGGCAAAGATGTGAAAAAAAGGACCCTCAGGCACAGTCGGTGGGACTGTAAGCTGGTAGAGCCACTATGCAAAACAGTATGGAGGTTCCTAAAAAAATATAGATTAGGCAAATGATGCAGCAATCCCACTTCGGGCTATGCATCCAAAAGAATTAAAAGCAGGGTCTTACAGAGACCTGTACACCCATGTTCATAGCAGCATTATTCACAATAGCTAAAACATGGAAGCAACCCAAGTGTCCATCCACTGATGAATGGATAAGCAAAATTCAACACACACACACACACACACACACAGAGATGAGTATTATTCAGCTTTAAAAAAGGAAAGATATTCTGTAATATGCTATAACATGGATGGATCTTAAGGACATGATACTGAGTGAAATAAGCCTTTTACCAAAAGACAAATACTCTATGATTCCACTTAGAGTAGTCAAAATAATAAAGACAGAAAACAGAATTAGGTTTGCCAAGGGCTAGAGCAGGGGAGAATGGAAAGTTATAGGTATGGTCAGATTTACAGGATGAAGAGTTACGGGGATGGATGGTGGCAAGGACAGCACAACAAAGTGAATGTACTTAATACTATTGAACTGTACACTTAAAAATGTTAAGATGGTAAATTTTATGTTATGTGTATTTTAACACAAACATTTAATTAAGAAATTAATACATGCTCCTGTAACAAGTTAATTACAAAGACATTAACAAAGAGCCACTTCCCCACCTCCTTAAAGTTGTACAAATTATTTAAAACTCCTATCAAATTACAGAGATGCCATTAGATTACACAGCTGAGCCAGCATTTTCTGAGAAAGGGAGAAAATTTCTTTATCAGAATGAACATAATTAAAGTACTGCTTCTCAACAGACAAAGGATTAATCTAAAAAATATACAAGCAACTCCTCCAGCTCAACTCCAGAAAAATAAATGACCCAGTCAAAAAATGGGCCAAAGAACTAAACAGACATTTCTCCAAGGAAGACATACAGATGGCTAACAAACACATGAAAAGATGCTCAACATCACTCATTATCTGAGAAATGCAAATCAAAACCACAATGAGGTACCATTACACACCAGTCAGGATGGCTGCTATCCAAAAGTCTACAAGCAATAAATGCTGGAGAGGGTGTGGAGAAAAGGGAACCCTCTTACACTGTTGGTGGGAATGCAAATTAGTACAGCCACTATGGAAAACAGTGTGGAGATTTCTTAAAAAGCTGGAAATAGAACTGCCATACGACCCAGCAATCCCACTTCTGGGCATACACACCGAGGAAACCAGATCTGAAAGAGACACGTGTACCCCAATGTTCATCGCAGCACTGTTTATAATAGCCAGGACATGGAAGCAACCTAGATGCCCATCAGCAGACGAATGGATGAGGAAGCTGTGGTACATATACACCATGGAATATTACTCAGCCATTAAAAAGAATTCATTTGAATCAGTTCTAATGAGATGGATGAAACTGGAGCCCATTATACAGAGCGAAGTAAGCCAGAAAGATAAAGACCATTACAGTATACTAACACATATATATGGAATTTAGAAAGATGGTAACGATAACCCTATGTGCAAAACAGAAAAAGAGACTCCTATGTATAGAACAGACTTGTGGACTCTGGGAGAAGGCGAGGGTGGGATGTTTCAAGAGAACAGCATTGAAACACGTATATTATCTAGGGTGAAACAGTTCACCAGCCCAGGTTGGGTGCATGAGACAAGTGCTCGGGCCTGGTGCACTGGGAAGACCCAGAGGGATTGGGTGGAGAGGGAGGTGGGAGGGGGGACCGGGATGGGGAATACATGTAAAAAAAAAAAGATACACTATGGTTGTGATAAAAATAAATAAATAAATAAATAAATTTAAAAAAAAATAAAAAAAAAATAAAGTACTGCTTCTGTTTAGGAAGCAATACACAAAGCAATTACTTTCCATACAGAATGAACAAGGAAAAAATTGTAAATAAATAGTTAAGTCTCTGGAGAAGGCAATGGCAAACCACTCCAGTACTCTTGCCTGGAAAATCCCATGCACGGAGGAATATGGTAGGCTGCAGTCCCAGGGGTCGCTAAGAGTCAGACATGACTGAGGGACCTCACTTTCACGCACTGGAGAAGGAAATGGCAACCCACTCCCGTATTCTTGCCTGGAGAATCCCAGGGACGGAGGAGCCTGGTGGGCTGCCATCTATGGGGTCGCAGAGTCAGACACGACTGAAATGACTCAGCAGCAGCAGCAAAGTCTCAGATAAGAGTGAAACCCAAGGGATGGTCTGGATGGACAGGGGATGGACGGTTACTGCTTAGTGGTTAATAGACGGTCTGTGTGTTTGCTTCCTGAAGTTTATGGCCAACTGGATGGAAACATAGGGAAACAATTCTTATTAAAACAATGGTAGACGGGGGCGGGGAGGGGGAGTGGCAACAGATGAGGAGGAGACAGTGAGGGAGATTCCTTTATAGACCCTTTTACACGCCATCATCTGAATTTCAAAATTACCCTGTAAAGTCATACAGGAAACTCCTAATTCTGATTTTATGGAGTGAGAGGATTTCTAGGAAGTGCCTTGTCCAGGTCATCCAACCCTGTGAAGCCTTCCACCCTTGCAACCTGGGCACCATCCAGTTTACCTAACACCCTGCCTCACCAGGGAACAAGGATGCTCAGGCAGCTCCTTCCGCACGGAATGAAATGGGGTTGAGCCAATGAACTGCGGACACATGAATGACAATGCATCGACACAGCAGCTAACTGACCCCCAAACAGAAATTCCTGACATATTTGTGCCCAGGAGGTGTCCATGTCCTCAGCAACAAATGTCAGAAAAGCGCTTCTCCAGTGTATTTCCTAGTGTGAAAGATTATGTTTATCTAATAATTTTAAAGATCGTCTCCTTGTCTTTCCAGAATAGTTGGGATCTATCTATATATATATATAAAACACAGCCGCACAGAACAGGGGCTTTTTAAACAGAGGTGGGCATAAATAAATATTTTATCTATTTTCCAACCGATTTCATGATATAGGCAATTATGAATTATTGAATTTCTGGTGCACAAGAAAACCACATAAGCTCGAAATTTTAGTTCTGCAGTCTCCCGTTTTCCCTTCCATCATCCTGAATTTGGCACTTCTTTTTAGGGATCCCCTAGTCGACTTGGCTGGCTTCCCGGGTGGCTCAGTGGTAAAATATCCGCCTGACAAGGCAGGAAACCCGGGTTCCATCCCTGGGTCAGGAAGATCCCCTGGAGGAGGAAACATGCAACTAACTCCAGTATTCTTGGGAATTTCCATGGACAGAGGAGCCTGGCAGGGCCACAAATCTCTCTCCGTCACCCGCTCAACTACCACAGAACTCGACTGCAATTCCACACTTCACCGGCAGATGCCGCAGCCCCAACGCTTGACAGCGTCAACTTTCACATGCAAACCAGCAGCCATTTAGCGCCTACTGTATACTTGCCACCAATTATGCTAGGCGCTTTCAGGTCAACACTGCACCGGTGGGCTCACCTGGGGAACTCTTGAGGATTCGACTAGTTTAACTGTGTAAAATGTTTTAAATAATGACTGAATCGTAGTGTAAAATTATTACCGGCCCAAGGTGAGGTGGCAGAGACCGCCCGATCCACCGCAGCTGTCTCGGCAGGGAGGTGTGGGTCTGGGCCCAGGGCTGGCTTTCCATCCAGTTGGGGCACTTGTCCTTTTTCCTGTCGCCTACCACCAAGCTGCCGCCACGTCCTCCCAAGTAGGAATCCGGAATCTGGCTTCTCTCTTGGCAAAGCGGCGGTGGTGCTGGGGTTGGAGGGAGGGGGTGTCCCAGTTGGGGAGGATCCAGGTCGGGGCGGCCACAACACCCGTTTTTCTGCGGGAACTTCTAAAAGGCTAGCAGCCTGGGAGGTGGCACGGTGGGGCGCAAGAGGTCGCGCTCCTACGGCTTAAACTCAACACCAACTTTCCTCCTCTGACTTCCGGGCCTGCGCCCCACCTGCCCACGAGGCCGACCCCAGCACCTGAGGCCGGCGGGCTTGGGCCTGTGGCCACGGAGCCGGGCGGGGTCACGGCGGCACCTGGGAGGCTCCGCGCGACCGACGGGCTGCACCTGCTTGAGGGCCGCCAGTCTGGTGGTGGTGGGCTCCGCTGGGCCCCCAGCGTGCGCTGTGCCCGAATCGACCTGGGTGGGCAGCGCGCCCCGGTCCCCCTCGGTCTCCTACGCGCGCACCCGGGGAGGCAGAGGCCGGGACCCACGCTCTTTGGCGCTCGGGCCCGCACGGGGCGCCGGGGCCGGGTGACCGACGCACGCGCGCAGCGAGGAGCCACGTGTTGGGGCCCCGGGCCTGCCGAGGCCGCGCTCTCTGCATCTGCGCGCGGCGGCGGCCCCACGTGCGGGCGGCCGGGACGCCCCCTCTCCCTGCACACGTGCGGGCCGCCGCGCCCGCGCCCGGACTCCCGGCTCAGGCACCGCAAGGCGGCGCGCCGATCGCCCAGGGCCGCCAAGGGGCGGGGCCGCCGCCCGCATTGTTCCTCCCCGAGCGGCGGGCCCTCCCCTTCCCCCAGCCCCGGGCGGGGCGCGGGGCCGCCGAAGCCGCGGAACGTGGGCTCGCGCCCCGCCTTTGTCTCCCGGGCGCGAGCCGCCGCAGCCCCGCGCCCGCCGCTCGCTGCCAGAGCCGCTTTGTGCCTCGGCGCGGGGGACGGGGACGCGGGGCGCGGAGCCGGCGGGCGCAGCCTCAGCATGGACGTGACGGTCTCGGAGCTCATGGAGCTCTTCCTGCAGAGCCCGCTGGTGACCTGGGTGAGTGTGCCTGGCTCCCCGCCCCATTGTTGGGGCACCGGCTCCTCTCCCGCCCGCTGGTGGTCGCAGTTAGACCCGACCCAGCCGGGGCCCCGGGCCCTTGGACCTAGAGGACTCATCAAGTGCCCTCCGCCCACCCCCCACCCCCAGCCAGCGTCGGAGTCAGTGTCCCGGGGTCTGGGGTTATTTCCAACTCTGGAGCCGGCGCGCCGGGTGCAGGACCCCGCCTCGCTCTCGGCCGGGCTGGGGGCTGAGCGGGTACACCTGTTCCCGCCAGGGCGTTGGGCCGGCGGCCCTGGAGCGACAGGGTCCTAGTGGTCACCCTAGGCGCATGGCTTGACCGCTCGGGAAAAGGACCCACTCCCCTAAAATAGCCTCGTGTAGTTTCTGAGCCCTTGAGACCAGCGGGTGTAGGGCAGTGGGGATTAGGGGGTTTCGAGTAAGAACGTGTACAGGCTAGGGTGGGCGCTGTGATTTCCAATAGGTCTGAGACGTGAGAAATTTATTGAAAAGTCCCCTTTATTTTATTTTCTTTGCACTCTGAGACGCCGCAGAAAAGTGGCGAGGAAGTTTTCTTTCTGCTGTCTCGCTTCTGTTGCCTGGCACGGGGAGGGGGAGCGAGGCCGGGAGAAGGGTGCTCTGGAAGGGTGGGTGGCTGTGGGTGACTCCCTTCTGCCCCCAGGGGCTCTGCCAGCCTGGAGAGCTTTAGACTGAGCGCGTGGGGGTGACTTTTACTGCCTTATTCTCCGCGTTCCCCTCCCCGCAGGTGAAAACTTTTGGCCCATTCGGAAGCGGCAACCAGGACAACCTGACCATGTACATGGATTTAGCGGATGGCATCTTTCTGAACCAAATCATGTTGCAAATGTGAGTTACCTTCTGGGGGGAAGGAAGGAATGATTTCTCGGAAAGTCGAATTTAAGGTTGTAGAAATGGAATGTGAAGTTGCAGTGTTCTCTGCACGTGGGCCCACTGGTATTTCGGTATTAATGGTGTCTTTTCTTGGTTTGTTGAGTGTAAGGAACTCCAGGACAGTGGTTTGGTCAGATGTTTGATGAAAGGAATTTGAAATTGAGTGACTGTCATCCACATGTTGGCAATTGACTTCAAACTCAGGGACTTAAGCGTTGTTTGACACACACACAAAAAACAACCTTTCTTTTGGGGGCAAGGAGCTGTAACGGAGAGTGTCTGGTTACAGGAAGTGTCGGGTGGGACCAGAGCATCCGTGAGTGACTATAAGGTTTCATTCGAGGTCAGGACACCTGTGTTTCTGCCTCCCTTTCATCTGTGTTTCCAGTTGCCCCAGAGCAAGTGCAATTGGTTAAGTTCCTTCTTATAAACTGGATTTAAAAGGCCCTGTGTTGGGAGAGGCCTGGGGAGCAAGAATGCTTTGGTACTGTTTGTCTTGAGGTGTGGGTTTAAGCGGAGTTTTGGTGGAGGTCACACCTGCTAGCATGTTTGTCTGACCACATCCTTTCCTGTTGCTGCATTCTGCAGCGCCTGTCTGATTGACAGCCTGCCACATGTAGGTGTTGGCTCCTGCCACTGCATTCTGTTTTTAACTCAGAAAGTGCAGGGAACATATTGGAACTGAGTGTCTGTATGATTCACAGGCACTTGGAGCAAATGTTCTCTGTGGATCAGGCCCCGGTGCTCACCTACTCACCTGCAACTAAGCAAGTTGTCATCTTGAGCAGGAACTCATTAGCTGATGAGAATCAGCTGCCTTTGTGGCCCCTGTGGGAGGAGGAGCGGTCAGCCTTGGTATATTCGAAAGAGGTTTAAGTAGATCTACCTGCAAAGATCTATTTTAAACAATTCCTGAGAACATTGCTCCTGTGGCGTAATAAGTTACTTGATGTCATGCTGTGGCAGAGACATCTCAGTCTTAATGTTTTTTAAGACACTTACCACTTACCAATGTTACCTGTCTTGAGTTTGATTAGATTCTAAAATAACCAATCTCTTGTCAGCTTGGCAGCACTTCTTGGTTCATAAGAAGGAGTTTTCCTGGAGTTGTCTCATGGCATATTCAAGTTCTGGCAACTATTTGCCGGCTTCATTCTGTTAGACCCCCCAAACTTATTGGATTCCAATTGGTACAACAACCAGTGAAATTTCAGCCTGTCCTGTTTAATTAAAAAAACCAGCAGTAACCCTGGCTTTTTCATTCAGGGTTTTACACCCAGGCGAGGGGAGAACAAAAGCCCTGGGACTGTTTCTCTTTCTTCCCTGACCTTTGGAATTCCTAAAGCGTTTACCACTTGCTTGTAAATCAGGAAAGCCTGTTGGACCATTCCTTTGAGAAATGCCAGCTCATCACTTGTTCACACTTGGCCCCGCAGCTAAATGCAGTTTGAAGGGCTTCTCCCTTCCCCTTGACAATTTTCAATGTTACTTTCTCTTCTGATGTGCCAAGGTAATGGTCCCGCAAGTGAGAACTGATATGTTAGCAGCTTCTCAGGCCTCAAGCAATGGTTCTGGGTCCTTTGGCCAGAGTTAGGCACCAAGAAAGAGAGCAGTGGGGAAGCTGGGTGACTTTCTAGAAGGACATGAGGAGGGAGAGGTGCCACTTGCATGCGGTTTACTGAGTGAGTGATCAAAATAACCCTGCTCCAGGTGACAAATCAGCATTGTTTTCTCTTGGAAGTAGGTAGGGGTTGATCGGAAAGGGGGCACAAGGGAACTTCTTTTCTTTAATATTCATTTATTTATTTGGCTGGCTGGTCCAGGTCTTGGTTCTGGCATGTGAGATCTAGTTCCCTGACCCAGGGGTCGAACCGGAGCCCCCTGCATTGGGAGCATGGAGTCAGCCACTGGACCACCAGGGTGGTCCACAGGGGAACTTCTAAGGGCGGTAAAAATGGTCCATGTATTGGCTGGAGTATATTTCAGTTTTCAAAACTCATCAAGCTGTAACTTAAGATACATGCATTTCACCCTGTGTAAAAAGGACCTCAGTTTAAAAAGAAAGTTTCAGCCCTGGTGTGAAAAGCCTGTGTAACCCGCTTGTTCAAACCCTAGGTCTCATGCAAGCCCTGTGCCGCTGGGCACGTTATTTACCATGTCAGTTTCCTCATCTGTAGAATGGGAAGGAAGGTACCTCCCTTAAGAGATGGTTGTGAGGATGAAGTGAGTGATGTGTTAGCAATTAACACAGTGCCTGCCCCCTAGTAAGTGCTGGTGTCAGTTATGTAGTTATATATCTCCCTTCTTAATCCAGAAAGGAGTTGCGTCACCGCTTAAAAGTTCTTTTTTTTTTTTTTCAGTCTACTTTCCCCCTGTGTTCTTAGTCTCTTAATAATTCTTAAGTCTTAGCCCTCTCCTAATGAGACGGAGGGCAAAACTGGACTCTGGGACCCACATCCTAGCCCCACATCTAACACTGTACTTAAGCCAAGCCTGTTTCCACTTCTGCTGAGTGTCAGGCTAACTAGCGGGTAAGCGATAAGGCTGTTCTGCCTTATCTCCCATGCTCGTAGCCCCTACTGTGTGCAGTTCGCCTATTTAGATAAACTCTCTCCAGGTTGGTAGGAGCTGAGAAAATTGCAGAGAGCAATGTGCTAATGTGTTGCCAGAGCTCAGACAAGAGGCATGTTACCTAACACTGAGAGCCATATGGGGGCTGGCTGGGGGTCACGTGACTGCACCTGGCCATTGTCTCCGGCAACTGAAGAAGGCTGGAGTGGTAGTCTCTCGGCCAGGCCTCTGGGTGACATCAGTGCCTGAAAGCAGGAGAGCCCTATGGGCTCAGCTTTCAGGGGAGGCCCAGGTCCAGGAGAAGTCCTGAATGAAAGTGAGGCATTGAGTGGCGTGGATGGAGCAGCTTGGGAAAACTTGCTGAATAGCTCCTCTGTGGATGCACTTTCCCTGGGTGCCTACTGGTCCCCAAGGGGAAAACAAGGTGTCTAATTCACTTTGGACATGCTTTTCACAGTCTCATAGGAAAATTAAGAGCTCTGACTCCAGGGACTTCCCCAGTGGTCCAGTGGTTGAGACTTTGCCTTCCAAGGCAGAGGGTGCAGGTTCGATTCTTGGTTAGGGAGCTGAGATCCCACATGTCTTACAGCCAAAAAGCTAAAACATAAAACAGACGCAGTATTGTAATAAATTCAATAAAGACTTTAAACAGTGAAAGTCGCTCAGTCCTGTCTGACTCTTTATGACCCCATGGACTGTATAGTCCATGGAATTCTCCAGGCCAGAATACTGGAGTGGGAAGCCTTTCCCTTCTCCAGGGGATCTTCCCAACCCAGGGATTGAACCCACGTCTCCCACATTGCAGGTAGATTCTTTATTAACTGAGTCACAAGGGAAGCCCAAGAATACTGGAGTGGGTAGACTATCCCTTCTCCAGTGGATCTTGCCGATCCAGGAATCGATCTGGGGTCTCCTGCATTGCAAGCGGATTCTTTGCCAACTGAGCTATCAGGGAAGCCCAAAAGAAAATACTCAAAAAAAAAAAGAAAAGAAAAAGGGCTCTGACTCTAGCATCAGGCAGACAAATTCAAATCTTCCCTCTGCTATCCTAGTTCTGTTACGTTGGGCAAATTACTTAAACTCTCTAAGCCTCCACTTCCTGATCTGTAATAAGCGGGATGGTATTTTATAGATTTGGGGAGGATTAAATACGATTATGCATGTATAGGAAACGCCCAATGAATGTCAGTCATGTCGGTCATCATTGTTAGTGAGGCCTGAAGCTGGCTTTGTGTGTGTGGTCACACGTGTGTGCTGGTGTGCATCTGTCCCTGTGGGAGTGGACACCTGAGTCGATGCAGTGGCTGTTGAGTGCAGTTGGAAACTGGAACTGAAAGCTTGTACCTGGGCAAGGCCTGTGTTAAATCCAACACTGTTTGCTTTGTTCAGACTCCTTTCTAACCCCTTGTGCTAGCTGCAAAATTACGGATAATATATTCATTATTCAGAAGTTGGAAATATCCTCAGGCCAATGAAAGAGTTCCTTAAGCTTCTAAAAAGCATTTGGAGTATTGTATATTAATGTGTATATATGGAATCTAGAAAAATGGTTCTGATGACCCTATATGTGGGGCAGCAATAGAGACACAGACATAGATAACGGACTTTTGGACCCAGCGGGAGCCGGGTGGGGCAGGGAGGAGAGAGTGCTGAATTGAGGAGCAGCACTGACACAGACACGTTAGGAAAGGTTGGGACCAGTTGAGCATTGACACATATACATCGCCCTATGTAAACTAGATAGCCAGTGGGAATTTGCTGTAGGATGCAGGGAGCTCAGCCTAGTGCTCTGGGACAACCTTGAGGGGCAGGATGAGGTGGAGGGAGGTTTAAGAGTGAGGCGACATGTATACCTACGGCTGATTCACGTTGCTGCATGGCAGAAACCAACACAACATTGTAACGCAGTTATCCTCCAATTAAACAATAAGTAAATCTTTTAAAAGTGATTTACTCAGGAGTAAAGAAAAATAAAAAAAATTTGAAGGGTAAGTTTTTTCCTTAGTGTGCTGGAAGAGGAGTTATGTTCCCATTTTGCAGATGTTAAAGCTAAGGCTAAAGAGGCAGATACTCGTTAGTTGAATGAGTTTGTGTTGGTGCTAAAGCGTTGCAGCAAAATAGATGTTTACTCATGAACTTAAGTGATGTTCTTTCATGGCTGCAGCATGTGACACTCTTCATGGAGCCTTGAGTCTGTAAAAATTAAGTGAAAAAATTCATGTTCGTTGTAGAAGGGTAGGAACATATAGATGCTTGTGTATGCTCCGTCACTTCTGACTCTGCAACCTCATGGGCTGTAGCCCACCAGCCTCCTCTGTCTGTTGGGCTACTGGAGTGGATTGCCGTTTCCTCCTCCAGGAAGAACATATAGATGAGCAAAACAAAAATTGCCTATAATTTTACCATGTCAAGGTAGTAGTAGTAATATTCTGGTGTCTCCCAGATGTTGTCTGTGGTTTATACATACATCTTCCTAATGTATTTTTATACAAAGTTGGGCTCAACCTTTTTTTATATCTATGATAGATTATCAATATCTCTATCATCTGTATCAAACATAATTTCTTCTTTATTTTTAAAATTTTTTGGCCATACCACATGGCATGTGGGATCTTAATTCCCTGACCAGGGATTGAACCTGTGTACCCTGCATTGGAAGCATGGAGTCCTAACCACTGGACTGCCAGGGAAGTCCCCAAACATGGTTTCTTGATTCGGGGTTTTTTTTTTTCCTGGATTCAGTTTTAAATTTAGGAGTCATTGGAATATGATGAAAAGTTCGGGGCTGACCTTTTCTCAAAGGAGGGAGGCAAGGTTGCTATAAGTCTAAATTATAGTTCTCTTTGAAATTTTAGGGAGAGTGATTTCTTTCTTTTTTTTTTTTTTTATATAAGAAGAAAGCCTTCAGGGCCCTGCACTTTGGACTTATTTGTCTCCAAGTTCAGACAAGCTACTAGACACTTTCTTGCACCCTTGTCTCTCTCCTGTCCTGTGTGTGTGCCACACGTGGTGATGGGGGGCTGTCAGGCTTTTGTGTTCTAGCACTGTCATATAAAGAGATCCTTGTTGTTGGTGATGGCTTTCAGGGAGACAGTCTTGCAGTAGTTCTATGATCTTCCTGGGATCAAGAACCACATTGGCCAATACAGCCCTCGCCTTCCTAGAACGGTATTAGGGCTGCAAGGGTCCTGTGGTCACCTGGCAGATGAGCCCCATGGGGCCTAGAGAACTTTGGCCCATTCTGGGCCCCATTTCCAGACCAGAATCAGTGGCTGCTGACCCATTTCTTGCTTCGGGACGGAGGTGGTTATGCAATGCTGGGCCAAGAGGGGATAGGCCTTCCTTAACCAGAGTTGCCTGCTGTTCGATTTATTTCCTAATCTCTCTTTACCTTGAGAGCCGTAGTTAAAGGAAGGAGTGCTAATATAATGATCATGATAGTTAGTCTAATTATTCATATACTAAACGTGAGCTCTTTTGGAATGTTGTTTCCATTAGCTGTTGCTTCTCAGAACTGGAGGTTAACAGGAGCGGGGATGGTCAGAGGCTTCCCTGGTCACCTGATGGCCTCCCAGGCCCAAACCCTGGGTGTGTGTTTTGCCTTTGCTTGTGCAATGAACATCCGTGTGTGTGTTAAGGTCCTCCAGCTCCTGGTACTCCTCAGGTGGTCCCGTCTGACTGAATGAAAATTGGGACCTGCATCTTCTCTAAGTTCTATTTTTTTTTTAAATATGTATTTGTTAATGGTGCTGGGTCTTAGTTGTGATGTGTAGGCTTCTCATTGCAGTAGCTTCTCTGTTTTGGCTCCTGGGCCCTAGGGCACAGGCTCAGTGGTTGTGGCACATGGGATTAATTGCCCTGCGGCATGTGGAATCTTCCCTAGGGATCGAACCCGTGTCTCCTGCACTGGCAGGCGGATTCTTTACCACTAAGCCACCTGGGAAGCCCTGAGTTCTCCTGTTGTAAGAAGCACATTCATCACTTTATGAAATTGCCTCTCATCTCTTCAGGTCTCTATAGTAAAAGGAGAATTGCACCCTTAAGATAAATTATTTTGTCATGCTAGGTACACTTCTGTAGCTAAATTGCCTTTGTGGTTTAAATTCTGAATGCCGTCTCTATAGCTAAATTAATTTCCACGCAACTCTTAACCTTCATTTTCTCAGTAATGAATGGCTCCAGAAGAGACATGTAAATGGCTTGGCAGGACTCTGTACTATGTAGGGACAGTAAGAAATGTTATCCCAGGAAAAATGTTGGGACAGTTGAAAAGAGGTCCTCTGGTTGCCCCAACGTGTTCATATATGACTGTTTTAGGGGAGGCAGGATGATTGAATAAAATCCATGGCTGATTATGGCAGTGTGATTCATAAAGGGGTTTGCACACATGCAGTACAGTGTTGGGACTCATAGTGTTTATATCAAATATTTACTTAATGGTTGAATTTTAAACAGCTTGTGTTATTAAGAAATTGTGCCTGCAGTGATATTTGAAATAATTTGAGTTTGTAGATTTTTTTTTCCTATTGGTTAATCTTGTATAAATTATTGGCTTTGAAAGAGCTGAATGGCATTGAGATTTATTTGCTTTACTCTCCAAATTCCCCTTCCTGTGCTCCCACGATCATCAATGAGGGGCCTGGGTACCAAGGAAGGGGGAAGAGATCTGTCTCTCTTCCATCACACCAGCTCCCCGGAGGCTCAGCACCCTCATCACAGGGCTCGGATGACAGATGAAACCATGCAGACAGCCCTCATTTGAATGAGACATCCTTTATGGTGTCTTGGGACAGTCGAATGGGCGGGAGGACTTGTTAGGAAAAGAAAGCAGTGTGTGGTACGTGGTGGGGAGGGGGAGTGAAAATCCATTCTTGTCGAGTCTGTTCTCCAAATAGAAAACATCTTTAACACTGGGAATTTTTGAGAAATGTCCTGTATGTAGATGAGTGATATTATAAATCACTTGATTCAGATTTTTAGTTTCATCACAACCAGACCTGCCTTTTGCCTGAGTTTGGAAAAGAAATGACACTTTGGGGACTCCCCACATCAATTATCTGTGTCTCTTAGCATTTGTTGTAGGGTGTGGCATACCCGACATAGTGTCACAGACTCACGGTGGCGGTTTTTTGAGCCAGAAGTGTCTGCCTGGAAGGTAAATCACAGGCACGAACACTCTGACACACGCAGGAGACCCATGTGAAGTGGAATGTTGATGATTTTGCTCATTTTTATGAAGTCAGAAAATGTACCATTTTCCCCGCTTTCTTGATGTTTCACACAGTTTGCTTGGTTTGGCTTTTAGCTTTTAATCCTTTTTTATCTTTTATGTAATAAGTTGGCTCTATCAAGTTTTTAACAATATTTATTTATGTCTGCTTACACTGGGTCTCTGTTGCTGCCTGCGGCCTTTCTGTAGTTGCAGTGAGCAGGGGGTGCCCTCCAGTGGGGTACACAGGCTTCTCATGTGCTGACTTCTCTTGCTGCAGACACGGGGCTCTAGGCACATGGGCTTCAGGAGTTGGGGCACACATACTTTAGTTGTCCCATGGCATGTGGGATCTCCCCGGAACAGGGATCGAACCCGTGTCCCCTGCATTGATAGGTGGACTCCTATCCACTCTACCACCAGGGAAGTCCTGCTCTCTTTAATCTTGAGATACATTTTGGGGTAGGTTATTGGTGGCTCAGTGGTTAAAAAAAAAAAGAAAAAGAAATCCACCTGCCAGTGCTAGGAGACAGGAGTTCAATCCCTGGGTTGGGAAGATCCCCTGGAGAAGGAAATGGCAACCTGCTCCAGTATTCTTGCCTGGGAAATCCCATGATCAGAGGAGCCTGGCAGGCTGTACAGCCCATGGGGGTCTCAAAAGAGTCAGACACGACTTACAGACTGAGCAACAAAAACTGACTTTTATACAGTGTCATTTTAGGTCTGCATTGACACCTGGTTGTTTATGGCTGCTGCCAGCAGTGGGGGCAAAAATAATATTGAATAAGGGCAGGCGGTGGTGGGTTTGGTGCTTGGGGAGGGGGCACAGAAAGTGGTGTGCCTCCCCTGAGGGTTCCACAGCTGGGCAGTAGCAGACTTAGGATTTGACCTGAGCCACGCTCGTCACAGCTGCATAGTGACCTAGGCTTGGAGAGGACCCAGCACTCGGGGGTAGGATGGGGTGTGGCAGGGGCTGAGAGGTGCAATTTCCATTCTCATCATTTTTTAACCCCCTCCCCAACTAGAGATCCCAGGCCAACAAATCAACGAATCAACAAGCACGTCAACAACGATGTGAACCTTCGCATTCAGAACTTGACCATCTTGGTGAGAAACATCAAGACCTACTACCAGGTAAGGTGGTCCTCCCTGTTCTCACCACCCCCCAACCCCCCGAGTCCTGCTGTGCGTCCGGCAATACCTTCATTTGAACGAACGGTTTCCCCACAGGAAGCCGAGAGGAAGTGGTGGCCAGGCAGCTGCCTGTTGACACTAGGCGTGTTTGCACATGCATCTTTTCTCTGGCATTGTGAGAAGGGTCAGAGGTGGGATCGCTTTGCTCTGCCCAGCGAACGTGCTTTGAGTTGTGGTCACTGCACCGTGCCTGGTGCTGGGGGGCCTGGAGACGAGCTGTGGTCTGCAGCCGCAGCCCCAGCTCACAGTTGCGGGGGGCCTGGCTGGGGAGAGCTCTGGGAGGGGCACCCTGCACGATTATCACCCACAGCTCGGCGAGTCTGTACGGGAGTGATTCAAGGGGTTGAGGGCGAGAAGGACCACAGAAGGGTTGTGTTCAGGCTAAATATGAAATCAACCAGCCCTCAGCTGGCAGACAGAGAAGTACCGGGGTTCAGTGTTGGGGTGTCTGCCTGTGAAAGGCTCCCCATATCTCAGCTCGCCGGTGGGTGGGTCAGGCAAGAGGGCCTGAAGGGGAAGGGCTGTGAAACCCCCATCCTAGCTTTGGGCCAGTTGGGCGAGGATCTTTGATGTTCATGATCTTTATGTGGAGGCATTGACAGGAAGTAGATTTTAAAGTGTGCACTTTGGAGCCCGGGTTTGTCAAACTTAGCTGTGAAACTTTTTAGCCCCATGTGAATTTTCTCGAGCCCCCAAGGAAAGCCCTGGCAACTCTGAGTGACTTGGGGGCTCGAATGCCCTCTGCTCAGCCCCCTCCTCGCCCTCCGGGGCGTCTCTGGGGGGTTCTCAGGACCCCAGGGACACAGTTTGAGAGTCACTGCTCAATAGCCCGGCACTCCCGGATTCATGCTGGGGTTTCACGGAGCCCTCTGCCTCCTGGGCTGTAACTTTGTCTCGGTTCTGGAGCATCTTCAGAGCGATGAGGTCCCTGTCGCCTTGAGGAAGCCCTTCGGCCAGCTGTGGCTTCCCTCTCTGCCCTCTTGCAGCCGTGCAGGTCCTGAGGTCACCGGGGTCGCTGGACAGGCGGCCGGATGGAGTTTGCGCCGAGGCGTCGGGCCGTGTGCTTGTCCGCTTCCTGCAGAGGGCTGCGGGTGCTGCTGAGTTTGAGAAAAGATGGGTGAAGGAGGGAGTGGACATGTCATGGGTTTTCTGAGATGATAATTTCCATCTTCCTCCCTCTGGGGTGGGGGTACTGGATGCCTTTGCTTTATGGTCAGTTCAGTCAGCCCCCCCGGTGCTCGTTCCAGGGCCCGTTGGTAGCCCAGCACTGTGGGCACTCTGAGCAACCTCTGGGTGGCTGAGCAGCAGATCCATGCTTTTAGTAACAGATGCTGCTTGTGCTGAGGAAGGGCTGGGGGGCGCCCTGCACGAGCTGGATCTGGGGGCTGGCGAGGGTTTGTTTCCTTGCTAGGAGAGCCACATCCAGGGCCAGGAATACTGTCAGCCAGTGGGTCTCAGCTAGTGCTTCCCACATGACAGCCACATTCTGCAGAACCTGGTGCTGCCCGTGAACTTGGGCCTGGGCGTGGAGCAGGCTGTCTGGTGGCCATACTGGCTGTCAGGCAGTAGAGGTAAGAGATGTGGATTCGATCCCTGGGTTGGGAAGATCCCCTGGAGAAGGGCATGGCAACCCACTCCAGTATTCTTGCCTGGAGAATCCCATGGACAGAGGAACCTGGCGGCCTACAGTCCATAGGGTCACACAGAGTCAGACACGACTGAAGCGATTTAGCAGCAGTGCTTTCCACGCTGTGTGCAAGTGCCAGGGGAAGTGGATGGTCGTAACAGTCGGAGACGAGATCCCCAGCTCTGGACAGGTGTGCCTCCCACCCCAGGTGTGGCTGGGAGGTGGTAACCCTCCCTGATGGCCGTGGTGAAGGGTTGGGATGGAGGTGAGATTTCTGGGTCTGTGTGTAGCTTGCAGCACTCAGGCGCTTAGTGCAGGCTGCTTGGCCTGGCGGGTACTGCCCTCTGGGCTTGCCGGCCCAGGAATACACATGCTGGTGGTGCTGATCAGCTCTGACAGCCCACTCTGGGTCGTCCAAAGGGCTTCAGACCCTCTATAGTACTTGGAGGCAGTTTGCTGTTCTTGGGGTCACTGAGCCGAGTTCTACAAGATGCGCAGCAGTCTCTGGAAGGAGACGATCACTAGTCCGTTCTCAGGGCCCCGAAGGACTTACAGGTAGAAAAGAAGACCCCTGCATCCTTGTTCTGTTTCTGAGCTCTTTGCTCTTTGAGGGCAGGGCTGGTGTGCGTGGACAGCCTCAACCCCAGCCTGGAGCAGTGTTTGCTGAAAGCACTCTCTGAAGGCCGTGAGCCGTCCCTGCCCCTCGGTCAGCCCCGCGCACTTGGAGGAAGCTGGCAGGACATTGCCCTTTTGCACTGACACAGCTTAGGTGTGGGCAGCATTCTGTTGTTTTTTCCTTCCAACTTATTGTAAAATAAAGCTTAGTTCTGGTTATGTAAGTAATATGTGCTCTTTATAAACTACCCCTTAGAAAACAAACAAGTTGCAAAAAGAAAAGAACCGCTCAGAACCCCAGTACCCATAGACAATCACTATTAACATTTTTAGTGCTTCCTTCCAGTTTTTGCATGAATAGTTTTTGTATTTTATTCCATGGTAGTCATGCCTTATATACAATTGCATATCCTGCCTTTTTTCCCTCCCACCTGACAATTGTAGCATAAACATAATCGGTTATTATTTTCAAGTGACATTCAAGAAAATTTTCCAAAAGAAGTACTGCCCAGTGTCCCCTTCTGAGAGAGGCCCTGCAAATTGTGAGGTCTTGAGGTGATGTGAGACCAATGAGGTTCTTACTCTGGCCAGGGTGGCTGGGGAGGGTGGGAGGTCACCCTTCTGGGACGGGGACTTCCTCTTGCCGTGGCGTTTCAGTAGACACAGTGGGGTCACCGAATCCAGCCCCGGGTCTTGTTTGCCCAGCAGTGGTTTGCTTTCACTCCCCAAGCCGTCCCCTTCTTTCCTGAGGCACATGGGGCCGGGAGAGTCAGGAGGGACGGGGCCTCTCGTGAATAGCATGGGCTTCTTTCACAAGGAAGCTCAAGTTTTGTTCCTGAAAACCTGCGGAGACAAAAAAAGATCTTTGACCTTCTTCTGGGGCAGAGGACAGACAGTGGGTGAGAACTAGCGTGGCCTGGTGCAGTCTGAGCACCGGTGTCTTGGGCCTCCCTCTGACCTGCTGCTCTGACTCTTCTGGGGTTGGCATCTAGAATCTGCTTTTTCAGAGCTTCCCCAGCTGTTTTAAGTCTTAACGTCCTTCCACCCAGAGGGGCCATCAGTGGGCTAGAGAGGTGGTCCCCTCAGTGGGTCCCTAGACCAGCAGCACCCATGTCACCTGGGGACTCATTAGAGGTGCGTGTCAGGCCCCTTCCTCAGACCTTCTGCGGAGGTCTGGCCGTCTGCAGCTTAACAAGCCCTCCAGGTGATTCTGATGCACGCTTGTGGGAACCTAGTGGTTTAGAGCGTTTCTGGTGATGTCAGGGAGAGGCCCGGTCAGCCAGGCCTCCAGGGGCAGAGAGAGCTCAGTGAGAACTCGGATGACTCCTGTGCATCACATAAAGCGGAGGCACATCTCATCTGCCGCAGGACAGGTGGAAGAGAGGCTGCAGTGATGAGAAGGCGACCTGGGGGAACGGGTGTCATTGAGGGGGTTGCTGGGAAGCCAGAGTTGGACATGTCCTTGGGCAGAGCACCCGATTCAGTCTCTGAATTTTAAAGGAGAGGCGGATCAGGATGAGCATCCACAATCGATTCACCTGTGAAGAGACCTGGGAGGAAGGTGGGCCTAGATCAGAAACGTACACTGCCTCGAGCCCCTGGGCTGGTCAGCATTGAGCCCAGCATCACGTGTTGTTTTATTGTTTAGTTGTTAAGTCGTGTCCGACTCTTTGCCACCCCATGGACTGTCGCCCGCCAGGCTTCTCTGTCCATGGGATTTCCCAGGAAAGAATACTGGAGTGGGTTGCCATTCCCTTCTCCAGAGCATCGCATGAGGCTTGTTTGACTCATTCAAGAGCCAAGCTCTTTTTCATCGGAGTCCTTTTAAGTTAAAATTTGGATATATAGAATGGTTCATTTGTCACATCTAGAGCCTTGAGTGCGGGTGTTGAGTGCACAATCATTTGATCGCAGAACCCGTGGGAAAACCTGGCCAGTAGTAGATGCAGAAATCCCTGGTGCGGCAGCTGGCTGATGCGTGTTTATCCTCTGGGGGTTGTGCGTGGTGTCCACGGTCCTCCCATGCCCTGAGGACACCTGTGAGCCAGCTTCTTCTCATGACACCTGGGGCCTAATTGTCATGTGAAATTTCTGAGTTTTCTGCAAGTGGGAAATACTTCACACAGCGGCCCCGACGAGTTCAGTGTGTGTTGGTGGAGATGTACGTCTTCACTGTTGTGTCGCATGTGGATATCCATCCTGAAATGGGCACCCAGCCGCAGGGCTGATTCTGAAATGGGGAATTGGCCGAGCTGTTCCTGGCGCCTCCCCTCTCTGGCCGAGCCCTGGGACGTGCGGCTTTCCTGCTGTGGGCCTCCTGAGCGTTCATCTGTCTGGAAGAGGGTGGGCCCTTGTGGTTCTGAAATTCCATAGTTGCGTGGTGGCCGGAGACCACCAAGATTTTAGTTTCAGATCACCTCGAGGAAGTTCTGTATTGCGAGTTCTTGGAACTTGGCTCTTCTGACTTCTGGTCTGTCACGTGGTTGAAGGCCAGAACAGACCCACAATATTGGTCTTTGTTGCAGAAGCAACAATCCCGGGTTGTAATATCTTCTGTAATCTCTTTTTTCCTTCATTGCTTTGAAAAGATTAAAAATGAAACAATACAAATGGTTTTAAGGAACACCTGTGTATCTGCCCAAAATAAATATGAACATATGTGAATATTTTTCATATTTGCTTCAGACCTTTCTTCTAA